ATACGAGAAATACTACTTCGCTTTCACCTCATCTTGATACATGTAGTTCTTCTCATGTTACTCGATGGATTGCTGGTGTCTCCTTGACACTCGAAAGCCTTCCGTATAATCGCGTTGTTCTCGCGAGTGAGCAGTATGTAAATTCCCAACTAATTTCCTTGCCCGTCTACGCGACACGCTCATTTCTTACAGCACGTGGCTTGTAATTATCAAGCAGGATATTTGATTTCCTTTACGCAAGCAAAGACATGCTCGCATGCCATTTCCAGTGTCTTCTCAAAATGCCCTACGTGTTCGCGCACACTGATGTGTTTCAGAATATTGTAGTTACAAACTTTTTGACGTTTTCAGAATGTGATTAAAACTGTCATTCTTACTTCACGTGCGTGCACATCTAATTCCGTTAAATATTTATTATTATCGGTAACATGTAAAATAGTTTAAACATTGTGAATTTTTATTTCATCATATCGGGCTTCGCCGACATGCGGTATCAATGCATCAATTTAGCATTGGATATTTCGCGGTATGTCGGTTTTAATTTACGTATTAAACGCGGTCATTCATCGAACACGCATAAATAATGGATTCCCGCGGGTATTCTCGCGCGACTTATATGATATTTTGTGAAAGTTTCATTTGCGCATAGGCGCGATACAAATCGTCTGCTTCCGCCGAGAATCGCAGAGAGACGTTGGGCTGGCTGAGTTATATTATATTGTGATATCATAGCGCACACGCAATCGGAGCAACAGGGAGGCACATAAACGTGCGCGGGATGACGGTGTGTGCGTACGCGTTCCTCGGATTTAATTTCGCGCTTCTATATTCCGGCCAAAAATATATACGTACATACGGATGTTCTACATGTGCGCGCAAGAGAAACACGTCGTGCGTGTATACGTGCAACGAATTGCGCCGGAAAGCGAGAGACCGGTCAGCCGGGGAGCGCAATAGGCGTTATTTCCGGCCGTTGTTTTTTCGTGCTCACCGCCGAATACAACCGAGAAGAAAAAAGAGATGTACCTCCATGTACGATAGATTATAATCCAAAGATCACACAGCACAACGTGACATATTGCAACCAACGAAATAAAAATTCCGTTATCAATTGTTTCGGAAGTCAAACTTCGCACAATTCCTCCCCGACGTTAATTGTACTTGACATTTATCGTTCGATATGTCCTTTATTAACACTTTGAGGCTCGATGGAGCAACACTGTATCCACGCGGGAAAAAATTTCCTAAATTTAAGTAATATTTTCTTGAATAATAATTAAGCAAACATTTTCTTATTGTAAATAAATACTTATTAAACGTAAACGTATATTAACTCAAGTATCATTTTGTTAAAAATAAATATTTATTTGCAGTAAAGAAATGTTTATTTTTAGTTACTCAAGAAAATATTACTTAAATTTAGAAATTTGTTTCGGTGTAGAAATTTTACACAGAAAAAATGGTTTTGCTGAAATATTTAAAATTTAGCTGATGCAGATCTGAAAATAATTTTGTTTAGATTGTCAGAATTATTATGCAGAATATTCAAACTGGTTACTAAAATGTTAAACTTTTTACAGTATTGTCATCAATGGTTAAGCATTCTATATAATTATTTTGATGATTCAACAAAATTACTTTTAGATCGGAGTATCTAAAAAAATTTTAATATTTCATCAAATCTATTCTTTTCGTATATTCTCGAAAAATGTCGTATACGAAAATGGTATACATATAATATACGTTACATAGTAATATATAGGTAAAATATATGTTATGTACGTGTATTATAGATTTTTGTATGCGAAATAGTTTCAAAAATGTAGGCACAGGTTAATGTACCCATGATGCCTGTGGCCATCGAATGCCGTTTTTTCTCTTAAAATTCCTGCGGAGGCTGCTCGACCGAATAATGGAAGCTGGTTCACGCCCATTAATAGGTGATGTTATATAGAGTTTTTCATGGATTACGAAATATCTCATAAATTCAGAATCGCTTTATTGATAATATCGTATGCGGAGATAATAGGATCAAAAAATAGAGATCTAATGTTCTGAGGGAAAAATCGATTCGTTATTATTCAGTTTCAACATTTAATGGAGTAGGTCGGTAACTTTCATAAAATTCAAACTCTTGTTATTATGCTTTAATCCTCTTATAGTATTACATCTTTTTTAATATAAAAACTTATATTTAAAATTTTATATTAGCAAGAAAATGCGATTAACTTTTTAGTTTATTTTTTTACGAAGAAAGTGATAAATTTCACGTGTGTCCTATCTTTGAGAAATATGTCTCACTTGGGAGATCTCTATACTTACGGAACACCCTCTTGGGAGATTTCCGTTTTCGTAGTGCTTTGTTTCATGACGGACTGAAAAGAAGCGCACCAATCACCGCAAGAAACTTCGAGATGTGACATTTCCCGATCAATGCTATTTTTCCACATTCGACATATAATAAAACATGCATAAACAAGATTAACTACTTTTTGTCGTTTTTTACTTTGACTTATCTGTTTTCTATATTCGATATTTATGTTTATGCAATTTAATTTTAACCGTGTATAATTTGGATCTTTTTAGCACAAAAAGACAGTTTTATTACTAAGTTACACAAATTTCCATTTTTTTCTGGATTTTTATTCAAACTTTAGTTTTTATTAAATAGAGATATTTAAGTTAAAAGACCCATATTGCAGAGAGTAAAAATATGATTAGAGACGGAAGTTTAAGTTAATACGTGTATCAAAGTGTATGTACCAGAGTGATTCCTCACTTCACATCGACGTTCAAAAATGCTCTTTGCCCCGTGACGTCTCTCATTAATTATGATGGCAATCTTATCAAAACATTCCATTCCAAAAAAATAGAATTGAAAGAAGAAATTGGATTGATTCACGGTTTCGCATTTTGTAAATTAAAAATCTGATCAAGTTGCATTCGGATACTTATAAATATATTCGCTGTGGATCGGTATATGTATGCATGCATAGTAGTAGAATATTCTAGGTAGCTTGAATGAAATTGGATCCGCCCGGGCGAACCCAGAGAACGAAGAGAAGGAAGATACGCCAAGATTCTTCAGCAGAGACGAGGAAGAAAGATGGTTTCGTTCGAACGAATAATCAGGAGGAACCTCTGGTAATCATTTCGTGCCAATCGAGTAGTTTCCTCGTGCAATCTCGGCCTTGGTGCACCTACGTGGCTTCTCCCTCTAAATCCGCGCACGTGATGCATCCGACTAACGACCCTCTCGGGGAGCCAAAACGTGTCTCTCGAATTAAGCATCCGACACTGGGTAGATCGAGAAGGAACCCCGTAGGAATTATTTCCGTGCAATAAACGAATTGACTTCGCGCACAACGGAATTTACGAGAAAAGTTACTAAGGTGCGTAAGACGAAAAAATATTGCAGGATTGAACGTGCTTGGAAAAATTTAGTATGAATGTTGTCATTTATCTAAATAAAAGCGAAGTATTACGGCTATAAATTTTATTTACTGTCTTTATTTTGCAAGACATACAACATTAAAGTTGCTTATAGGACGTAGAATAAATAGCTGAAAATATATATTTTGTGTGATATATCACATATATGTGGAAGATTCAGAAAGATATTATCCTAACTTCTTTATAGCGCCTTCATAACACCTAACATTTATAATCATTTAAAATGCGCGAAAAAGTCGGTAAAATTGGAAAAAATATTTCTCACTAGTATTTTTTGCAAATTTTCACTCATCACATCTATATTGAATTCTTTGTCACGTTATATATGGATATCTTATGCATTAAAAAGTATTAGTCAAATAGATAACACAACATTGTTGAAGAAACGATTGTTTATTTTATTTTCCTATCTAGCACGTAAATACGTTCTACTTTCACACGTTATGTTGGCATCAAGCATTCGTTTTGCTGAGCGCCAAGTTTCATTCCGAGCGAAGTATCCCATCATTACACGTCAGCGAGTCAAAGAACGGAGACCTCGATCAAGGGGACGAGGGAATAGAAAAGCGAGGAAGGTATTGCCAAAGTTCGACGAGCTACCCCATCCACCCATTAGCGTGTCAGTCATTCCGGCCGTGTAATTAAATTCCGTGCGCCAATGTCGTCGCGTGGATCTCCGCCCTGCGCGATCAAATCTTTTTGAAGCTGTCGCATCCATTCTCTCTCTCTCTCTCTCTCTCTCTCTCTCTGCTTGATTCCTCGAAATCAGCTTGGCGCATTCTGTGGACGGTATCAATATTTTCCCTGGGAAAAATGTCGGGTCAGCTCCCGGGAGAAGCCGCGGGGGTGAGAGAGGCCGCGTTGCGCGGAGGGCGATATTCTTCCGGAGGGTCTCCTTGACATCAATTCTATCCATTTCCACGTTTTCCCGCGTTTCTTACTGCCCTACAGTCTCATTTTCAATTTATCCTTGAAACCTTTTATTGCATTTTTCGTTTCTCCTACCCCGTTTTAGAGGATCCGGCGTCGAATGGACTCGCGCGAATACAACAGATAAAACGAAAGTTTGTATCGCCGCGGGGTCGCTTGCTTAGAGTAGGAAGTCCGGGGGGGAGGGAGTCTGATTAATGGACTTCTTGCTGTATAACGGGCGAGAAAAAAAATTAGTCGAAAGGAGGTCGGTGGCACCGGAGAAAGCTGCACTGCTATAATTGTATTATAGTCGATTAATTGGAGTTGTTAGGCATCGTAATCATCTGGTTGCTGTTGTTTAATTATTCCGAGATGACTCGCACAATCGTTTTCCTGCATTATTATCTCGTACAATTGACATTATTAATATTTATTTGCACAATTTTTAAATCTTGCAGATGAGAGAGGAAAACTCTTAAATATATTTTCCAATCTATTAAAAAAAAAGAACTTTTATCTATTATTTTAAACATAAACGAATGATTGATGGAATATATATATATATATACATATAATATATAGCACTAATATTATCATGCCACGTATTTATTTTTCTATCTTTATGATTGTTACAGAGCGACATCATGGAATTTTCCAACGTTGCACGAAAAAAGTCGCCGACGCAAAGACATAAACTCCGAAAATTGTTTGGCATAAGAAACACTGCGACTGTACATCGTTCCTAATTGACAGATAGAGGAAGGAGCTAGCGGCGGGAGATAACTAGAAGCGGGAATGAGAAGAGGATCGAGCGGAATACACGAAGCAGCGTTCGAAATTTACGAGTGAGTCGGTTTGCTTGCACGTCGTGGGGTTCAAGATGGTGTCTAGGGGCGGTCGTGCGCCGTAACAAATGGTTCAGCCGTGAACCCGCTCGCCGTGCAACGACACCGGAAACAGGCGGCAGCTATCCGGCGAACGAGGGAGCGAACGAGCAAGGAGATCCGCAAGAATTCGCGAGGACACAGACGTGAAGCTTACCCCCCGGTCATCTCTCGCGTGGTGAATTGTTCCCAGGCACGAAAGCCGAAAACGGTGAAGTTTGTTCAACGCGCTTGTTTGCAACGAAATTGCCCGGAGACAAGATGATTCTGAAACGTCGACGATGAAACGACGTACGTTTCGCTACGATCGTCCTGCGAGAGAACGCGTCGCGACTTTTTAATACGCGTTCGCAGACTCAGAGATGACGAGGTGTCGCGCGTTTCGATATTGAAATCTTGATAACAGTTGGTCCATGATAACTCGGCCAGATGGGTTAAAAAAACTTTCGTGGTTCGCGATTGACGGCACGGTCTCGTGCTGTTTGCGAAATGGCGATTATACCGCGTTCTCGAAAGTGCAACAAGTGGTGTCCAGATTCTCAATGCTGAGACATCATCGATGTTACTCGACAAACGGACGAGGGGATTTGATCCGGGACCGATCAGGTTCGCGACCGGTTGGAGAGTCTCGAACAGGAGGACCGCCATTGTTTCCTAGAACGATGCCAGCGGGATTAAGCGCGTCTAATGAACTTTGAATCTGTTTCGCCTGTCTAAAATACGATCATCTCGAAATTTCTTCATCAGGATTCTCTTCGTCGGTCTAAGTAGATTTACCTTCGCTGGGAGGAAAGGTTCGACCAACGCATCAAGAGGTCCCGGTTTGACGCTGTTCGTTAACCTCGTCAAAGGGTGCTTTATTGATCGCGAGATCGAAAGGTAGACGACGAGTTAGAGTCCGAGCTAAGATTTTAACTTGATTCCAACCGCTGGCTTCCGTCGAACTCGAGTACTTGAATTTACCAACATCGTCTTTACCAGGAAGGAATGTATACAAGTTGAAGAAAATTTTAATTTATACGACGATTCGCCCAGAACAGGGGAAATTAGGGTTATTAATGCATGTATTAATATTCGTTGAAACGTGACGCGATTCAATGTTGCACGTGACTGCTCTAAGAAAGACTGTAAACGCGAGTCCATGGCGACGAAAGTGCTCTATGGTGTGCAGACGAAAAAAACACTTGCCGGGCATCGACGATTCTTGGGACTGCTACCTGACCTCTCAACGGCAAATCCGTTGACTAACGTAGCAGCACCGTTCGTATGCCGCGGGCAAACACATCCCGTGACTCGCTCGAGGACGAAGACTTCGCGATAATCCAGTCAAGACGTTGTCGGATCCGCAGAGACGTCGTCGAATGAGACGATGGTGATGAAGATATCCGCAAGCGAAGCTGGCGTTCCTCTATTAGGCGCCGTCGGTCCGCGCTACGTCGTTAAACAAGCGACGGTGAAGCGCTGCGTCCTGGCGTTGTTGCTCGTCTCCATCGCCAGTATATTCTATTACACTTACTACATTGTCAGCAGTGGGCCGCTATCCAGGTAAGTCCAAACAATGCAACGAATTACTGCTTTCTCCCTAAAATGGGAACATGATTGCTTAAGTTAAGAAATTCAATCATTAATTTAGCGCTAGCTCGCGTACAAGAATAAAGTGCATTAAAGCAATTAATTTTGCGATCTTAAAATGTTTTTAGAATTAATTGCTGTAAGAATATCTCTATTCCAAATTTACTCATTGTTTAAGTTAAAAAAATCAGAAGCGTGGTGATATTAACGCACATATGTTACGCCATAACGTGAAGTTAGCACCTCTCCACATTTGAAATTAATTGAATCATATTGTGTTAACACTCGGAATATTAAAAATTCAACAAAATTTTAACGAGAACTTAAGTGGATTTCTGACACAAATACAAAATGTTTTTACTGTTCTGTAAATTAAATGTAACATAAATAAATTATAACATATAAATATTTTATTTTCTAAAAATATAGGATTTTTAAGATAGTTTGAATGTGAACTCTTGAATTCTGAGCCCGAAAAACTTTTGTCTACTTGAGAATATTTACAGTACACGGCGTAAAACAGAGTAATGCCTAATTAGCACAAGATTTCTACATGCAGCATCTGTTGCTAGCAAAACTTCAAAGACTCTTTTTGCACAATAATCGGACGTGTTCGCATAGAAAAACACTTGTACAACTTCTTCGGATTGTTGACTTTCGTTGTCTTAGTCAAGAATGATCGTAAAAATGTAAAATAAAGAGCGTAACTTTGCGCATTGCTACACAGTAGAATTGTGTAAACTTTGAAATACGTGTAGTTTCGTGATAGTGCGGCAATAATAGCATGCAAATGCAACGGAAAACACACCATTAAAGACCGTGTGGAAGCAAGTTTACAAAGGGCGATTAGTATTGAATGGCGAGCGACGAGTCGTTTGATGATAGGTAAAGTAGAATGGTGACACTTTTAATTACTTTGTATGCAATCAAGCGAGAGTCAAAGCAGATCAATTAGAGCCGCGAGTTGGCTGACCGTCGCGCCAGCCAGTTCGTAACTCTAAAATTGCGTGGTCGCGTGTTGGTAGGGGATCTTCCAACAGAATCTCGTACGTCGCAGACAATTTCCATTGACGTCTTATTTTTCACGTGGTGACGATGTGGAAAAGTGAAAATCTATAAACGAACGCGATTGGCAATCGACAGGAAATATTTTATCACAGAGACACGACGTTTCTAATTGTGAAATCAATAACCTTCATTGATATCAGCAACTGAAATCCTTTATTTAAAATAACGGATTGTACTCATTAATTTCATTAAGAAAGCGTAGCAACGATCTCATGAGATAATATCATGGGTATAATTAAGTAAATAACATTGATGATACACAGATAATGGAGCATCAACGGTCTTATGATTCCGATAATAGTCGAAATAATTATAAACCACTTTTATATCAAGTCACGAGAAGCATCAATGAGAAGCAACAAATAATAGGTAGAAAAAAAAGCGCGTGTATATTTTTTTTTACAATTTCGCAAAATGATGAATGTAATACATCAGAAGGAATTCTATGGAAAGCAATTATTGATGCAGAAATATCGGCAGTATCAAAGCGCGTTGATCTAACTTCGCAGTAGCGTATTTCCATGTTCCGTAGTAATAAAATATTTTTGTCACGCAGCCGACACACCGTCCATTATACGTAAATATTACGTGCGGTTATCAAGAAAATCGCATACAGGAAAATTATACTAATTACTTTTGATAATCAAAGAATAACAGACGCATGAAATTATCATAGACTATACTGCAGGATGTTTCATATCTTTAATTACATGTTGCGTGCTGCATAACAGAGCCTGAAATGTTAAATTAATCATTATTCACGAAAATTATATCTTTCACATCATTTTTTTCTTTTCCGTGGCATAAAACTTTTCTTAGCTCTCTTTAATATTGAAAAACAGCGTTAAAAATTTGGAATGCTTTTAAAGTCGTACAAAGCATCCTTTGATCATTCACTTGATAAACGAGCAGTAGGCAAACGAAGATAGTCAGTGAATTTTAGCAAGAGGAAATCTCTTCTACCGTTGTAAACTACCCGAGAACTCGTATGTAGAAAGCATGAACAACCCCTGCAAAGACGAAATAGTTTGTGGACTCAGCGAATTGGCAGGTACCTTCGGTCTTAGAGACGATCCTATTTAAATTTACGAATACAAGTATATCTATATGTATGCGAACGTACATATATACTATAAGGGTTATATACATGTTTCCGTAATAACTGGCCCAATTCCAGTTTTCTTCGATATCCTGCAGTTCTGTAGGATTGCCTGACTACGATGCCCGTCAGGCAGAGAAGTAAATTCACAGTTAATTAGAGAGGAACTGAACAACCTCACGATCTGAGACGCTCGCTCTAGTTCTACGATTCTATTCAGTTCGTCTCCATAATAGCGAGACGACATGCAAGTCCAATGTCCGTGTATTTGTTGAAAAATAATGATCGCACAGCACAGCAGAGTGCACTTCCGAAATATAATATCTGAAATGAAACGTGTCGCGTGAGCGTCAAGCGCCTGATATTTCCAAAGGTGCGGAAATTATATTGTGGCTCGATGTTTTAGCCATTACGTACACGCGAAGTTTCACATTTTTCTCGCACGGGAATCAAAGTAATTAAAGTATAATTTCTCTCCTCGCGCGCGCGCTACGCGACCGATCTCGTTGAGTGAGAGCTTAACAAGTTTTCTTCGACACGTAGTCGACGAGATTGTTCTGAAAACTGATCCCCTCCGAAATATCGCTTACGTCAGGGGAAAAAGTTCGGAATATATTTTTCATGCGGTCCGATGGTACCGCCGAGTTGCAAACGACGATCTTCAAGAATGTAAACCGCACGTTTACACGACCGCAAAACTCTTCCCCCGACGACAGATCATAATTTACTTGCTGCAATACTAACGGACGTATCTGTTATCATAAAATATTCGTTATAATCCTACAACTATGCTTCGTATGGAAGAGACTGGGAAGTTGAGATATATGACTCGTTACTACGATGCGCTGTTATATCTAGAGGCCAAGGGGCCGGCTCATAAATCCTCGTGCACGCGCTATCAAGTTAGTTGATAATGCCATGATCTTACATGGATCAATCTTAATAGATACGCGACACCATGGAATTCTGTAGCTGATCATAGTATACAGGTATGCTATCGTCAATCATTGAGTTTGATACACGCTAGTACAGACATTGACATGTAATATCATATCTATATACTGGCAGCTTCGCCATCTATATGATCCGGATTGGACAATCCTATTGGCAAATATACGACGATATCTTGGAAACTGTATTGCGAGATATTGCATCTTGGTATTTATAATTGCACTGCCAATTTAGATATGACAAGACGGACTACGTGCTATTTATAGAGGCTCGATACGAAACTACTCGGATTAATCATCTTATTGAGTTCAATTATATCTTATCTGTTTATATTAGATCCATGCAAATTAGGTTGTTCCGTAATATCAAAGTTTCTGCCATTCTTTGAACTTGTCAATTAAATTTCAGGAAAATTACATTTAAAATCTTCATACCAAATATGAAAATGATTTATTAAACAGATTTTTAAGATATCTATACACTTCATACGAACGAAAAAAATTATCATTAATCATTAATTATTCTTTTTACGTATGAAATGATAAAAATATTGCTACAACGATAAATTATAATTACATTTCTCTATTGGTATTTTATGTAAAAACGTATCGCCAGTTTTTACATGTATAACGAATATTTTTAGCGGCGTTCTCAAAGAGTGTTTGTCAGCGACGTCACTCTTGTAGTAAAATGCATTATCGCGATGGCAGTAACAAATTAGCGGAATCCACGGGCGCACAACGTGGCAATTTTAGATCACTCGTAGGATTCTGCTTCGTCGCGTCGCGATAGTGTCAGCTGTCGCGGCGTCTGCAGCTATGCATCGCCGTTTTTGTACGCGAGCGCGCTATCGTGCGATAAATCGTTGTTTTTGGACAGTGACGCGTAAACGCTATTTAAAGTAGGATGCCGAGGCACAAAGGTAGCGGCAGGAAATTTATCGTTAACGGTGTGTCGTTGGCTCATTTTTTTTTCACCGCGTCGTAACGCAAGTTCTTCCCCGTGAGAGCTCTGAAATAATATCTCACGGACTTCCGTCGGTTGTATACCACTGACAAAAAGTACATTTATCTCCGTTGAATAATTCTTTTGCCATTAATCTAAGAAATCGCGATTACTCTGTCATCGCGATGTTCTCAATGCATAGGTGTCAACTGTGGATGGAGAAAATTGCTCGCGCAACGATACTGTCGCGAAAAATTGTCTTCTGTTAAACATGAGCGTGTATATACACGTGCCAAGTAAAAGGCGGAAGCGCATTCGTGCGAAATACGAGAAGTGCAACTTTATATCTTCTCTCTTTCCCCCCCCCCCCCTCTCTCTCTATCTAATAAAACGAGAAGCAATCACTCGATCTATCTCACATAAACGTGCACCAAAGAAAGAGAGGCGCGTTCCCTGTCGTGGGACGTGAAATGCGACCGGATGTTTGTCGCACGCCCAATCAGCGTCAATTTAAGCTTCTCCTCTCTCAACTGGCCTTACATCGGCGCTAAGCTTCCCACACGCACGTAGTTACTTCCTATCACTAGCCACGCGCCTTTTGCATGATGCGTCTCGTCTTGCTCTTGAACTGCCTTGAACCGCCCGGTTCAACTATGCTCATAAAAATCGTCGCGTATGATAGTTTTCCTACTCACATATTGCGTTCTATATCAGTTAATTTTCTAGGAAGAAATAGAATGTGCATGCACGTATAATCTTCATATATTTAGATTAAGAATGGTTAGTCGTTTTTAATTTTGAGAGATATTTTTGAAATTTTGTAATTAGTCTTAGCTTATCAAAATTCATCGAACACTGATATTTATTTATCTTTCATTTTTCTAATAATTTTTTTAATTTGTAGATGGAC